GGGCTCAGGCAATCCACTCACCTCAGCCTCCCAAAGGCGTGGGATTACAGGCTGAGCCACCGAGCCCAGCTGCCAGTGGATTCTTAACCCTTTTCACAGCAGTCCCAAGGGCTGCATCCTTGGACCCACTTCTGGGAAATTCTGGATAATTCAAGTGATCCCTCATTTCAGAGCCGCCTCTCTCTGAGGACTGTCACCATGGCCTGGATTGTCCTTTGAGTGGGAACAGAGACTGCAGGCTCCAGCTGGATGCCCTCTGCTGGCCTGACTCTCGTCTGTAGGGATCCTTGCAGGTGGGCCCCTGGAGAGTGCTTGCGACCGAGGCTCCCAGTGACCTGGCTTCAGCGCTGCCTCAACGATCTCGTCTAAGTTGACATCTCAATTTTCTCTTTAAATAGATGTGAAGTATGTGGTTTTCGGATAAGATTGTTCCAACACTTTTTTTGTTTTTGTCTTAAAGTTTTAATGTTTTTTTTTTTTTTTTTGGCTTAAGACGAAAGAAATTTATTGTCTTATAGTTCTGAAGACCAGAAGTTTGAAATCAAAGTGAAATCATGGTTGGTTCTCTTTGGGGTCTCTGGGAGAGAATCTTTTCCAGGCCTCTCTCCTAGCTTCTTGTGACTGCTGGCAATCCTAGACAATCCTTGAAAAACTGACACTCGAATCTCTTCCTCCATTTCCACATGGTATTTTTCCAAATGTTTAATTTTTAATGTAAAAAGTATATAATATAAAATTTACCCTCATAACCATTGGTTTTTTTGAGTTGAAGTCTCATTCCGTTGTCCAGGCTGGAGTGCAACGGTACGCTCACGGCCACCCCAGTGTCGACCTGCTGGGCCCAGGTGATCCTTCCACCTTAGCCTTCCAAGTAGTCGGAACTAGAGGCGCGCCCTACCATGCCCAGCTAATTTTAAAAAATTTATTGTAGAGACGTTGCCCAGGCTGTTCTTGAACTTGTGGGCTCAGCCAATCCCCTCACCTCAGCCTCCCAAAGTTCTGGGATTATAGACTTGAGCCACCGCGCCAGGCCCATAATCATTTTTAAGTGCACAGTTCAGTAGTGTTGACTACATTCACATTGTCTGACAGATCTCCAGAACTTTCCATCTTCCCAAACTGAAACTTTGTCCCCATAAACACTAAGCCTGCATTCCTCTTTCCCAGCCGCTGGCACCCTCTACTTTCTTTCTGCCTCTGTGGCTCTGACCATGCAAGGGACCTGATTTACGTGGAGTCATGGTACTTGTCTTTTTGGCTTACTTCACTAAGCATAATGTCCTCGAGGTTCAGCCATGTTGTAGCAGGTGTCAGAATTTCCTTAAGGCTAAGCAATATCTCAAGGTTTATATATACCACATATTCATTTACTCATTTATGGAAACAGGAGTCTTGCTCTGTCACCCAGGTTGGAGTGCAGTGGTGAGACCATAGCTCACTACAGCATCAACTTCCTGGGTTCAGGTGATTCTTCTGCCTCAGCCTCTCAAGTAGCTGGGACTACAGGTGCACCATGCTTGGCTTTTTCTTTTTCTTTATTTTGGTGCAAATGGGCTCTCACTGTGGTGCTCAGGTTGGTTTCGAACTCCTGGCCTCAAATGATCTTGCCTTGGCCCCAAAACGTGCTGAGATGACAGGTGCAGCCCCGATGCCCAGCTCTACGTTTTCTCTCTCTGTTCACTTGTCCATAGAGACTTAGGTGCTTCTGCTTCTTGGCTATTGTGTTGACAATTTTAAACACTTCTAATGAAATCGAAATCCTTATTTTGCTTTTAAACCCACCATTATTCATCTAAAAAAAAGACAATTTTTTTTTCAGATGAAAAAATTTACACTATTCTTGACCCATTTCTTCTTCCTTGATCTCTCAGGGTGTCCTCTGAATGGAATGGACTTTTATCGCCAAGTGCTTCCACTGACCACTGTACACTCTGGCTCTGATTTTTTTTTTTTTTTTTTTTGAGTTGGAGTCTCACTCTGTCACCCAGACTGGAGTGCAGTGGCCGCTCCCAGCCACCGCAGCCTCAACCTGCTGGGCTCTGGCGATCCTTCCGCCTCAGCCTTCCAAGTGGCCGGAATTACAGGCATGCGCTACCACACCCAGCTGATTTTTTTTTTGATTTATTGTAGAGATGAGTCTTGCTGCCCAGGCGGGTCTCGAACCCACGGGCTCAGGCAATCCACTCACCTCAGCCTCCCAAAGGCGCGGGATTACAGGCTGAGCCACCGAACCCGGCTGTGGCTCCAATTTTGTATTCCAAAAGTTTTTTGGGATCACCAGTTTACAAACATAAATCCCAGTCTCCTGAACTTCCTCGTAACTTCACAAAGACATACTCGCAGGTTTTTACAAACCGGACCGTGAGTCCTTGCGTTTTCTCTTTCTGGCCAGTGCCGAGTGATGGGCATCTCTCGGGACACCCGGCACAAGACTCGGGGCAAGAGAAAGCCCTACCACACAAAGCAGAAGTGTGAGCTGGGTCGACCTGCTGCTGACACCAAGATTGGCCCCTGCCGCATCCACACGGTCCGAGTGCGGGGATGTCGCAAGAAATACTGTGCCCTGAGGCTGGACATGGGCGACTTTTCCTGGGGCTCTGACCGTTGTACTTGCAAAACAAGGATCAGCGATGCTGTCTACAATGCATCCAGTAACGAGCTGGTCTGTACCAAGACCCTAGTGAAGAACTGCATTGTGCTCACTGACAGCACGCCATGCTGACATTGGCGTGAGTCCCACTATGCGCTGCCCCTGGGTCGCAGGAAGGGGACCGAGCTGACTCCCGGGGAGGAAGAGATTTTAAACAAAGAACGATCCAGTGACAGAGTGAGACTCCAACTCAACAAAACAAAAACAAAACAAAACAAGGATCCAAAAAAATTCAGAAGAAATATGATAAAGGAAAAATAATGCCCAAATCTGCAGTCTCCTGGAGGAGCAGCTCCGGCAGGGCAGAATTCTTGCTTGCGTTGCATCAAGACCGGGCCAGTGTGGCCAAGCAGATGGCTGTGTGCTAGGAGACAAGGAGCTGCAGTTCTACCTGAGGAAAATCAAGGCCCGGAAAGGCAAATAAATCCCCTTCCCTGGCTCGTGTAATACAGCTGCTTATTATTCTGTTAAGAAAACAACGAACAACATGCTTGCGGAATGTGAAAGGGGCCTAGTTAGACGTGGCTGGGGACGCTCTCCGGTGAGACTGCAGGCTGCCCCTTCAAGGGAGGACGCCTGTTCTGCATGATCTGCTTCTGCTTTTCGCTTACAGGTATGTGGGGGCATCGCCCAACTTATCGCCCTCCCAAGTGGGCGCTGGCAGCTTGGGCTGTGAGCGGTACGGCCCCTGCTGGCTCCACAGACTGGAAACAGGCGACCACACCAGGAACAAGGCCACTGACCCTAGGGCAGGAAGCCTGCGGGCTTGATGTGGGCGGCTCAGGGTGAGGGTCTTTCCAGGATGCGGTGCTTGACAAACGACTGTCAGCTGTCCTCGTTCTGTTCCTGGGAAGCCCAGCCAGGTGTGCCCCTGTTTGAAGGCTCTGGTTTAGGGGAAACCATGTTTTGCGCTCACTCATGACACCCATAACATCATGGATTAGAGCACACTGGGTAACCCAGGCTCCCAGTGCCCATGTCCTGGCCGAAGGGAGGCTCAATTTGTATAGCTGACAAACCCTAAAGCCGTGGAATCCTCCCTGAAGAGGAGAGAACCAGAAATCTCTGCCGTTATTTGTGGGCCTCAAGGTTGCCCTGCAGGAGTAGGACAGGGAAAATACCAGAAAAGGATGTGGTGTGGAGGTGGCCTCGCCATCTGGCAGGGAATGCAGTAGGTGGCAGGAAAGCACCTGGTGCAGACCTGTGACCCCGAGCTCCCCTTGGTACGTCCGTCCCGCTCCTGGAGCAGCGGCAGTGGGGTTCACGCTGTGGGAGACCCAAGTGTGCTTGAAGGGAGCTATGTCCGTCCCGGGGGCCGAGGCCGCTGCCCTCCCTGCTGCGGAAGGAGGGGCTGCCTCCCGCAGAAAGCGCTGCTGTCCTGAGACCCTCTGTGGGCTGGTGTGGCACTTCACGTGGAAAGGAGCCTTGTGACACCCACTCTTGGAGCTGAGCCCTGCTGAGCGCAAGCACGAGGAAATCAAGACCTCTTCACGGGGTGTCCACAGGGTGACGGTGCCGACCCCTGGAAGCTTAGGGGCTCTGTCCTGAGAAGCTGTGAACACCCCGACCCCTCCTGGGTGGGTGGACACCTGGAGGGAGGCCTGAGGCAGGTGACTGGCCCTGTGGGCTGCCTGGTGCCCCGCTGGGAAGCAGGGAGCCAGGTCAGCTGAGGACCCCCCATCTAGTGAGGCCGGCCCATGGGACCTAGAAGAGTCTGAGTCTGGGCCTCCAGCAGCTGGGTGTGACTTGACCTGGACCCACAGCATGCAGTCAGCTGGGACAGTGGAGGCACAGACCGTGGGGCAGGGCTAAGGCGTGGGGGTGATAGGAGCCCCTGCAGTGGTGTGTTCTAATGGAGTCCAGTGTGTGGGCATGTATGGAGGGAGCTCTGTGTGTGTGAGACTGTGTAACTCGGTGTATGTGTGAGGGACTGTGTGTAAGTCTGTGAGAGTGTGTGTGTGTGTGTGTGTGTGTGTGTGTATGTGTGTGCTTAAGGGATGCTGTTGTAAGAGACTGTATGTGTATCTCTGTATATGTGCATGTGAGCGACTGTGCATGTGAGGAACTCTGAGTGTGTGTGTGTGTGTCGGGAGCACAGACAGGGTGGCTTGTGGAGGGCTGCGTCCTGGCCTGGGTCTCCAGGTGGCCTACAGCCCAGCAGCATCCTCAGCAGAGGGGGCCGGTGTCCAGCTGAGGATGTGCCAGGCGGTGCTGGGAAGCAAGGCGTGGCAGGCTCCCGGCGTTGGTGTGGGCCATGGCTCTGCCTCCCCCTGAGCCTTGGCTCCGTGTGGATCTGGAACACGGAGTGCAGTCCCTGCACCTGCAGGAGGAGTGGACTAGAGTGTGGCAGGGGCACCGCTGGTCCTGGGCAGGGGAGCTCCACGCCTGCTCTGACTGCAGAGCCGCGGAGGCACCCACCTTAGAGGTGTGACTGGTCACGATTTCGGCAGCCACCCAGGTACTGATGTCGTCTGCGTTTCTTAAAAGCTGTAGCAGGTACTTGTCCTGGATGTAATTGGGCAGAAACAAGCTGCAGGTTTTGGTCGCAAGAGACTCTGAAGAGCTGGCTCTGGAAGAGAAACGTGGTGCCTGTCACCCTGGGAGGCCGTGGGTGGCCTGCCCGCCCTGGGGCTAGTGGAGGCTCTGCACCATGGGCCGGGACCCTCCAACTCTGGCAGACCCTTCTCCCTTGGGCTGGGTGAGACCCAGGCATCTTCCTTTGGTCGGGAGCATCCCTGAGACGCCTAGGGGAGGCCCCCAAGACCCTCCCGTCACACCCTCCAAACCAAGGACCTGGGACACTTGCGGGAGACACTCACTTGGAGATGGCTGTGCTCTTGTCCATGACGCCCAGAGCCCGTGAGTTCAGGAAGTGGACGGGGTGGCACTTTTGAAACAATTCCTGCCCGAGATGCAAACAGGGTTCAGGCCACTGTTTCCTACAACTTTGTGGCCAAAGCAGTGGGGTAGGATGGGGAATTTGGGAGTCCATCCCTGCAATATTAGGTTCAACGCCCACCCAACAGTCTGCAGTGGTCGGCCGGCAGGGCTCCTGTGTGCTTGGCCCTCAGGGGCTTGTGAGGTCCGGCCAGCCCTGGTGACAGCAGGTGGGATTGCTGGGTTGCCGTTGCTGCTGTCAGGGGGTCCCAGGATGGTGGGGCCCTGGGAAGGAGCTGCCTGGGGGGCAGGCTAGGGCGAGAGCAGAAGGAGGAGTTGGGCAGGGGCACTAGGAGCTGGGTTGACCCAGCTCCCGTGGGAGGAGGCCCAGTCCCAGGCAGCCCTCAGAGTACCCTCTGGTGCCTGTGAGGCAGGCCTGCTGGGGCAGAAGGGTGGGGCAGGGCCTACATTCTGGGCTGGCGGGAGAAGAGGACTGGGCTTTGCCAGGGCCCAGTTCCCTTCCAGGGCCTCCCAGCTCTGCGTGGCAGCTCCCTGGACCTGGGCACCTGGCAAACCACTCCATTCCCTGGGCGTGCATCTGTCTCTCCAGGAAGCACCTCGGGGGGGCAAGATGCCAGAGCATCTCTGTGTGCACCCCTCCCCAGCCGGCTCCCCCCGCCCGCAGGGGACCTCACCCTCCTCACCTGCTGCAGCAGCGTCAGCTGACTGAACAGCTGGTGAGTGCTGTACTCGGTCAGGAAGTAGGGCCCCTTCTCACTGGCCTTGGCACAGGGCCCGTAGAAGTCCTCGAGGAAGCAGGGCTTGGGCAAGGCGGAGGCGATGGTGTAGGGGCGCTCCTTGTGCTGTGGCAGCGCCAGCCCGTTGCCCCGGGGCAGCCTCCAGGGGAAGCTCTGCAGGGCGGGCCGGCGCGTGAGGGCCCCTGACCCGGCCCCTTCCAGGTGAGGGATGGGGGTGGGGCAGAGTGAGGACCAGGCGGGTCTGAGCTTAGGGCTCCTGGGACTGGCTCAGTTAGAGCCAGGGGGCACCCTGCCCACCCACGGCTGTTGGTGTAAGGATGCTGTTCACTACAGGGGGTTCCCACGGACAGAACCACTGAAATCTGGGACTTCCCATAGAAGAATGGAAAGGCTATACTTTCCCCACAGTGGCTTCCTCCACCCAGGTTTCCAACTGAAGGCCAGGAGTGTGAGGCCAGCGAGTCACGGCTGGACTCTCCTCCTCTGAGCACCTGCCAGCCCAGGAAAGCTGTGCCTGGTGGGAGCACGGGGAGTGCATGTGTGTGCATGTTTACATGTGTATATGTTTAAGTGTTTATGTGTGGGTGCACACATGTAGTGTGTATACGCTTACAGGTGAGCCTCTGCATGCACATGTGTTCGTGTGTCCGCACACATATGTGCATATATGTGTACCGGCACGTACATATGGGTGCGTGTATGTTGGTATATGTGTACGTGCGTGCATGTATGAATGCATGGATGTGTGTGTGTGTGTGCGTGTACATGCTACGTCCTTGAGGCTGGGCTCAGGACTCCACATCCACCTATCTGGGCTGGCTCTCTCCTAAGAAAGGCCCCCACCTTCCGGGAGATGCCGTCCTCCGAGAGCCTCTTACAGAGGGCGTTGAAGGGCCTGGCATCCTCCTCGGCCTCCTTGGGGTCCTCTAGGTCTGCCCCTCGAGGGGTTCCCTCGGCTCGCCGATCCGTGCCCACCTCCAGGAGGCCCAGCAGGTGCGCGGCGGAGCCGTCCAGGGGCAGGATCTAGGTGGAAGTACGGGGGTTACTGCCAGCCCCTGGATGAGAGCGACCCTCCCAAGCGGGAGCGGGGAGTGTGGCTGGCCCAGCTCGGTGCGGCTGTCACCTTGGAGGAGATGAAGTCCTCCAGCCGCCCCAGCAACCCAGTGTTCCTGGTGAAGTCCACGGTGTAGCAGTCTTCCACCCAGGCCTGCAGGACGCAGAGGCTCCGCTTGTAGATCTTGGTGAAGGTGGAGGCGGGGTCCTGGTGGGCCCTGGAGGCACAGGGGAGCCAGCCTGAGCCACTTGGGCTGCAGGGATGAGGGGCAGAGGGCTGGAGGCGGCAGCTGGGTGAGGCTTTCCTGGGAGACAGGGCAGGAGCCGGGCTGCACACGTGGAGGGAGGAGGCGGGGCTGGGAGGTCTCTTGTGAGTCCCTTCCCCAGAGCCGGAGCGGACGGGCCATGACCTGAGACATCCTGGGTGCCTTAGTCTGGGGCCATCCAGCCTGGGACTATGCGGGCGGGCCTGGATGAGGGTCGTGTGTGGGTGCACTGGGGATGATGCCAGGCCAGCGCAGCGAGGCAGAGTGCCTCCACCTGTGGCCCACCGTCCCCTCCCTGACCCCAGCTGCTGGTCATCGGCGCCCACAGGAGGCGGCCGGGCTGGGTGGGTGTCTGTCAGTGCCCACCCTGACTGGTGGTCTCGGCTCCCACCTGCCTTGCCCCCTGTGCCTGTGCCAGAGGTAAGGGGTGAGAGCCTTGCCACCACCCGCAGGTTGCCTCCAGAGCACAGGGCGCAGGGCCACCGTCCTCCTGCCTTGACTCGTTTCACTACATCTCTCTGTGTCCCTTGGTTCCCTGTCCTTGCCTTGGCCTTCTCCAGCCAGGCTCCACCGGCCCCCGTCCTGCTGGGTCACAGGGGACCTCCTCATCCTTCCCGGTGGCTGAACGAGGCGTGGAGGAGCCCACCCCCCCCGAGGCGGAGGCTCCCACCGAGCGCGGCCTGTGAAGAGGGGTGGTACCTGGACAGCGTGCTGTTGATTCGGTCGAGGAGGAAGTGCAGGAAGTCCTGCGGCGTGCAGAAGTAGCGGAAGGTGTAGAGGAACTGCTGGACATAGCCCTCGAGGAAGGCGTCGCTGCAGGGGGGAGGGCAGTGAGCAGGACACCTCACCTGTGCTGCAGGTGAGTGAAGGCCCCCTGTGTGATGGTATGTAAGAGCGTGGGCATGACCGTGGGTGCGTCTATGACCGCATGTGTGAGGGCACTGCAGGGCTGTGTGGAGATCGTGTGTGTGTAGGATTGCGTGCGTGTGTGAGTTATCTGTGTGTGTCACTGGCAGAAGAACCACCCAGAGAGATAAAGAGGGGGTACTGAGACCACTAGAAGTTCCCATCCACTTTGAGCGTGAGGACCTTTCTGGACACAGCCCACTGTGCCTCCTCAGTCAGAATGGGCTGGCTCAGAAAACTGCCATGCACACTCGGCTCCAAGGTGGGAGCTGCCACTGACAGGAGGCCCCACAAGACCAGCTGCAGCCCACCCTGGGAGAACGAGGTCAGTGGGCACGAAGCTGCTGCCCCTGGCGGCCTGGGTCCTCTGCAGAGGGGACCTCCCGGCTCCCCACTGGCTGCCAAGAGCCCTCAGTCCCCTGTCCCCTTTGGCGTCCCCCACCGAATCACACAGCCTCTGCTCAAAGAGGACTTTGGGGCTCCGCGGTGGCATCGAGCCAAGAAGGGGAGGTCCCCGTGCCTGGGCGAGGGTGGCCTCTCTGGCCCCATGCCTGGGAGCGGGCCAGGTCATCGGGTTGCGAGCGCCTTGGCGTGGGATGAAGCCACAAGGCAGAGTGGGTGGAAGGGCCGGGAGTGCTGGTGGGGGTGACTTGGGTCCGGGCCCAGCCCTGAGCCAGGAAGGCCTAGGGACCCTGGGTGGCGGTGGCAGGGGCGGGCCTGGCACCCCAGCCTTTACCAGGATGTCTGATCGCCATGTTCACTCTGAGAGAGGGGGCGGCTCATACTCTGCACCCTGGGGAGTCAGGATGTTTTGACTTGGTGGGTTGAATGGAATCCAGGCCACACCTCGGAGGCTCCCACGTGCCTGTCTTTGGGAGCCACGCGGTGTGTGAGCTATGCAGCCCAGGTTCCCCGCCCTCCAGTGACTGCAGGGCACAGCCTGGGGTCTAGCACCAGGCCGTCGGTAGGCCTTGGGAGGGTCAGGAGCTCCACAAAACAGCGGGCAGACTCTGATGAAATATCCTTCCAAATGTGGAAGAGCACAAACCCATCCTCGATGAGGGAGCGCCCCTCCCGCCCCCTTCCACCTCTCGGGATCTGTTTCTGCTTTCCTGACGAGCAAAACTGCTGCCCCGGGGGCTGGCGCCCACGCAGGGACGGGACGCACCTGGAGTAGAGGTAGGCCATAAGCCCCAGCGGGGTGCCAGCCTGCAGGATGCGGGCCTTCTGCCGGCCGCTGCCCGGGTGCTTGTTCACGTTGTAGAAGATGAGGGACGAGGACTCGTCCAGGGGGCTGAAGTCCAGCGTGTCGCAGGGGGCCGCCGCGATGTTCACGATCACCGGGAGGGCGCAGGGCTCCAGGCCCCAGCACTCCGCATACATGACCTGGGCGTGCAGGATGCGGGCCCTGGGTCACCCTGCCAGACCCCAGGGCTTCCTGGCGTGGGGCTCTCAAATCAGGGCTGGTGTGTGACTTCGCGCGGAGGGTTTACAGCGGGAACAGCAGGAAACCCATCCCAGTGCCCAGGCCTCGTGGAGGGGGCAAGGCACGGGTCACTTGCCTGCAGGTACTTCTTGACCGAGCTGAGGAACTGCACCTTGGACCTCATTTCTTCTAGCTGCCCTTTCAGTTTGGACAACATGGTCTTCACCTCGGAGCCTGCAGGCAAAGCAGAGTTGGCAGGGCTGGCGCACCCTTGCCCGTGGCGAGTGGCTCTGGCCTGAGCCCTCCAGGCCTCACCTTTGTTCCTCTTTTCCTTCTGTAAGAGCTTCTGGTAGAATTTTAGGGTCTTTCGGTAGTTTCTTTTCTCGATCATGAGCTGCTGCTCCAGCTCCTGGTGAGGAGACAGCACGTAAGCCCAGGGTGGCCATGGCCCCCGGCATGGGGACATGGATTCACATGTCAGCTGCACCCAGGACCAGGCCCACACCCCTCCGGGCCACCCTGGTCTTGGGGATCAGCCACGGGACAGGATCCATCAAATTCAGAGGCCCAGCCAGCCAGCCGAGGCCAGCCCTGACCTGGGCATGTGCAGTCCAGGAGGCCCCTCCACTGACGCCAGGCTTGCATGGCAGTGCCAGGCTGGGGGTAGGCCATCTGCCCTCTTTGGCCACAGGGGTGCCCCTGGGCCCCTCACCCAGAGTCATGCCCTTGAGGGGACGCACAGGGGACAGCATCCCTACAGGAGTGATGGCTGGGTGGCCCTCACATCCCTGCACTGTGGGTCGTCAGGGGAACAGGACCCCAACCCAAGTCAGCACTAGGCCCTCCTGCCTGAACAGGCGAGGCTGAGGTACCTGTGGGACCCCCGAGCAGCTGAGCACATGGAGGGCCAGGACTTCCCCAGATATGTCCTTTTGGGTCATTGGCTCTCTGTTTTTTTGAGTTGGAGTCTCGCTCTGTCACTCAGGATGGAGTGCAATGGCACACTCAGGGCCACCCCAGTGTCAACCTGCTGAGCTCTGACGATCCTTCCACCTCAGCCTTCCAAGTAGCCGGAACTACAGGCGGGTGCTACCACGCCCGGCTAATTTTTGATGGATTGTAGAGACGAAGTCTCGCCAAGTTGCCCAGGCTGGTCTTGAACCCGCGGGCTCAGGCAATCCACTCGTCTCGGCCTCCCAAAGTGCTGGGATGACAGCACACTCAGCCAGTCTCTCTTTTAAAATTAAGTTTAAGGAAGCCCAACAATGCAGACTCTGGCTGACCTGTGCAGATGAGAGCTTAGGCCCCTACCCCCTGGAACACGTTGGCTAGACCACTGTGGTTCACAGGGCAGCTGAGTGCAGGGTTTGCCCCGGCCTGGACTGCTCTGGAGTGCGAGTGACAGTGTGTGTGCATGCTGCATGTGGCTCTCCTGAACCTGCCTGGAATCAGTTCCTGCCTGGAAGATGGAGCGGGGCTGTCTCCAAGAGGGAAAGCAGGACTGGAGCCAGCCAGCGGCTCCTGGACTTCAGGCGGCTGGGATGGAAGGGCCGCTGGGTTTTGCTCATGCAGCCAGAACCAGGTGGGCTCGAGTTCTTCCTGGGACAAGATGCACATTCAGTAGGATGGCATTATCCTCCCAGGACGCCACCCATGCCTGGCAGGGCAGCTGTCCTCCGGGCACAGTCTCCCTCCATCCTGTGGGGACAGGCAGGGTGTCGCCTCACACGGAGATGGCGGCTGGGGGCGGGAAGCCCCGAGGACTGGGCCTGCTAAGAGCAGTGAACCCAGAGCGAGCCCCTCCCTTCAAGGGAGAGGACAGATACCGCCTTCCCCCTGCACCCACACTGGGCGGGGGGGGGGTGTTGGGGAGGGGCATGGGGGAGCCTGGGGGATTCATGCCAGCTGGGCCTCAAGTGGGTGACAGCGGGTCTTCAGTTGGGACTGAGATGGGCTCTTCTGCAGGAGGCGGGGCATGGGCCACAGCGGGGTGCTGGACTGGGGCCAGAAGGCAAGTGGAGGGGCAGCCCTGGCTATGCTGCTTCCCCTAAGGGGCTCAAGGTGCCAGGGCTCTGAGCTGGCCATTCTGAGGGGGTGTTCCTCCGAGCCAGCTCACTCAGACTTCCTTTTGTGGAGTCTAGCTGGTCAAGCCCAAATGCAGCTTCCTGCATCTCGGCAGTCTGCGGCTGGCTTTGCTTTGTTGACAGTGTTCACTTTTGAACGTTTTTGCAAAATAAGAAATGCAGGTGATGCTTTTATTCAACTGGTTGAACTCCCACTATCTGGTGGTCTGCGAGGCTGTCTTCTCCCATGCACTGTTGTTCAGTCCCCTGGACGCTCAGGCCAGGCAGCCGTGGGCAAGGCGTGGGTGGTGATCCAGGTTGAGCAGAGACCAGTTGCCATTCTGTCAAGTCTTGGCTGCTGAGCCAGGCTCCCCAGGACCTCTGGACCCTGCTACTGCCCAGCCATGTGCAAACTGCAGGGGAATCTGCAAACATGTGGGATGGACAGCTTGTCTCCATGGAAACAAGGCTACGGGAGGCTGACCCTAAGGCCATTCCCATGCACCGTATGTTGCTGTGAGCTGCCCTAGGCTTTGAGATATCATTTTCCCGGGATGGTGTTTGGGGGAGAGCATGGGCTCCCCTGGCAGGGGCCAATGTGGCCCCTCACACGCCTCAGCCTCTGCTCACTGGAGTCCCTGCAGCTGGAGACAGGGCATCACCAAGTGCAGCATGGCCAGGGTCTAGGCCCTGCACACGTGGCTGGCCGGGTTATTATCACAGGCCAATACAACTAGAATGCCAGTTTTGCAGTCACCTGGGCCATATTTCAGCAGTTCAGTAGCCATATGTGACTGGTGGCTACTCTGTGGACAACACAGATTTAGAATATTCCATCAGCAAGTAAGGTCCTATTGGACCCGGAATGGAGATCAGAAAATGCAGGTGCCCCCACAGGCTGTGTTCATGGGCTGTGTGCTGCCATTGGCATGTGGTCCCGGCTTCAAGGCCACATCGCCTACAGCCTGCATCTGGCCCCCGGTGGTCCCCTGCACCCAGCCCCATCCAGCTCCGTCGCCTCTTGTCCACTCATGGAAACACTGATGTTGACAAAATCCCTTGGCCCCATAGTGTTGGCTGTGGCAGTTGCAGCCTCGCAGCCCTGGTGCCAAATTCCACCTTGGTCTCTCACCAGCTGTGCAAGCCCTTACACTCCCTGACCTTCAGTTTCCCAAGATAGCAGGAAGATGAAGTGGCATGTCGCTGTACTAACAGTTCCCGCCGGTGTCGGTTTGGAAAGGCATTGCAGGTGGGGAGCCGAGTGCTTGTGGACAGCACATGTCAATTCCATGGGTCTTCACTGTGTGCATGGGAGAAGGATGTTCATGAGAACCCAGCCCCATGAGAGGAAGAGCCAAGATCCTGGAAATTGCTGGGCCCGTCAGTGGCTGGGAGTCTCTGTTCTGGGCAGAGGCCCAGACTGACACAGAGACATTGTTTCCATGTGGTCTAGGAGGTAGGACAGACCGTGTTCTCCCTGGTGACACTGTAGGTTTGGGCAGGTCATTTGGTGTCTGCTGTGCAGGCCGCACCTTCCTCAGCAGGGCCAGAGAGGCCTGAGTCTTCAGGGTGTGACCTGCCCTGTGGCCTCGCGTCCAAGATGGCAGATGCAGGGCAGAGCACGAGGCCCCCGATTCCTAGCAGCCCGTAGGAAACGGCGTGATTCCAAACGAAAACAGGTGTTTCCACGAGCATAGCACCCCCCTGCTTGCTACGGAGGAGAGCCAGATCGCTGTTGATACTGAGTGAGGAAGTGAGGTTTGGAGGGTGGCGGGAGGTGAATCAGCAGGAAGGCCAGATGCCGCAAGGCTGGGGAGATGCTGCCTCCTGTGGCTTGGGGCTGGCGTGGGCGGATGGCAACGCAGTGGCGGTAGGGAGAGGCTCCAGGAGCTGGTCCGTGACCGGTTGGCTGCTGTCGGTGGCCCCTGGTGGCCCAGGCCTTGTGCAGCTGCAGCGCAGGTCAGGCGCTGTGGGGCTTTGCTATACATGGGGCTGGCCAGGCCCGGTCGCTCCTCCTGCTACCTCCTCTCATCTGTTGGCCAGGGAGTAGTCTGGGCTTCACCTGACCCAGAAAGCCCGGCCAGGTCACAGTGGCCACCAGCCTGAACTCCCACAGGCGAGGCACTTCTGGTGTTTTCTCTCTGCAGTGGTGCTGCCCAGGGCCCAGAGGCTGCACCGGCCTCAGTGGGAGCCACAGCTGAGCCTGACTCTGGTCACAAGGATCCAGGACCCTCCTGAAAACTCATCACTCGGCGACCACGTGCTCAGCGAACATGAGAGAAGAGCCATTCCTTGCCCCAAGATGTGGAGCATGTATGCAGCTGAGCTTCACACAAGGAGGGACACACACCCTTATGGCGGGGACCACCAGGGAGTGGGGCACCAGGAGCGGGAGCCACCTGACCGGGCTCCAAGCACACGACACCGTCTGTCACCCAGAGTGACCTGGAAGCTCTGCCTGGGTGAGGCTCCCCACCGCCCCCCGGCACCAGTGGAGGCCCAGGACTTACCGGGCTCAGGGCGCCGGGCTGGTCCCCTCCAGCTAGCTGTTGCCCCAGGTCTTTCACGTAGCTGTAGACGTCCGCCCCAAAGCAGTCGGCCTCATAGAAGGCGCTGGACCAGCCAGGGCTGCAGCTCTGGAAGCCCGCGAGTCCAGGAGACGTGGCTCTGCCGCCTTCCTCGGGCCTGGCCAGCTGGGCCACCGCCTCTGGGTTGGCGGCCCTGCCGGCCGGCTGCCCATCCTTGCCAGCCTCAGGTTGCTGCTCTCGCTCCCCTTTGATTGACTTCTGAGGCCGAAACCCCACCTCCAGGTTTCCCCGCGAGAGCTCATCAGAGTCCATGTCGGACAGTGAGGTGGGTGAGCAGGGGCTCCTACTTGCTCTCAGCACGGCTGGTTTCTCTTTTCCTTGGAAGAAGGACATGCAGGTTACGTGGGCAGTGGCTCCACTCTGCTCTTGAGGGCAGAGGCCAAGGCTGATGTTTACGGGGAGGCCAGTGGTGCCCAGGGCCTGGGGCCCCAACGGCTCTCCTGCTCGGGTGCCCGTGAGGGACCCCTCCCACCCACAGCTGCGACTCTGGGTGGAGTTGGGAGCGGGGGTTCCGGGACGCTGGCCTGCTCTTCAGGGTGGGGTTACAACAGGGGGAGGCCCCTCTGTAGGGCTCTCCTTTGGGCCCTTCTCTTCCTTCTAGACGTCCTGTGAATGCTGTAGGGCGGGGTTGGGCTCTGTGTTTGCCTGCTCCCCTCACCCCCGCCAGGCCCGTGTCCTCTAGCCCCTCTAGGCGCTGTCTTTTCTGGAATTTTATTTTATTTATTTTTTTTGAGTTGGAGTCTCACTCTGTCGCCCGGACTGGAGTGCAGTGGCCACTCCTGGCCACCACAGCCTGGACCTGCTGGGCTCCGGCGGTCCTTTCGCCTCAGCCTTCCAAGGAGCTGGAACTACAGGCGCGCGCTACCACACCCGGCTAATTTTTTAAAATTTATTTATTGTAGAGATGAGGTCGCACCAAGTTGCCCAGGTGGGTCATGAACCCGCGGGCTGGGGCAATCCACTCACCTCAGCCTCCCAAAGTGCTGGGATTATAGGCTGAGCCACCGAGCCCAGGTTTTTCTGGAATTTTAAACAGCAAGCCCAGAGCTTGTGGTTTCACACACAATCCCTGCAGCATACTCAGCTCTGGCAGTGCTGGAAGCTTCCATCTGTACAGGTGGTGTCTCCTGGGCGCCCCGGTCGTACCTGCTTACCTGTCCTCTGACATGCTGACACAGGGACTGGGGGTCACTGCAAGGCCATGGCCACTGGCGTGGACAATCCAAGGGTGACCACAGTCCCCACCCGTCTCTAAACCCAGCCTGCTCACTGCTGGCTTCCACTGCCGAGCTTTGGGAGTCTTGGGCGGAGAGCCCAGGGCGTTTAAAGGGCATATATTTCTGCTTCCTCCTTGTCAGAAGCCTCCCACTCACAGCCCTGCCTCTCCTTGAATATTGGAGCCCCCACAGCCCTTTGTGGCTTCCACCGTGACAGTGACTGGGAGGACTCCCTGGCCCCATGGCCCAGTCTTGGGTTCCTGCTCTCTGCCCAGTCTGGGGTGGGAGGAAAAAACCTTCCCTTCTCAGGACACACCTCTAGGAGAGGACGAGCCAAGCCCTAGGGCAGGGGCAATGACATAGGGTGGTATAGTCAGAGGCTGATGCGGGAGCCCTTCCCATAACTGCCAAGAGGGACGAGAGGAACCCTGCTGTGCCCCAGAGCCCATCACGGGCTGGCCCATCTCTTACCCAAGACGCGGAGCGAGGGCTTTTGGCTGGACAGGGGGCAGCTGCTGGGCGTGCCCTTGGGCTGTGACCCCACCTCCTCTGAGGCACTGACAGGAGAATGAAAGCACAGGTCAGGCAGCTACCCCTCACCTGCCTCTGGGCACAGGACTTGGGCCCCGCACAGAACATGCTGGCTTAGGGATAGGGGCCCTTGTGGCCCCTGTGGAGCCCTCACTAGAGGCAGCAGGTCCCAAAGCTCATCCCTCCAGGGTCACACAGGCACAGTGGCCCATGGGACCTCTGGGTCATTAACTGCTTGGGTCCCCAGGTGGAGCCAGGGACGGCCTGGGGTACTCAATGCTGCAGGGTCCGGGAGAGCTGGGCTGAGCTGGGGGTGCTCACCTTGAGGCTGTGGCTACTCCACACAGAGGCCTGGCTGCTCAGGCCCTGCATGGAGCCATGAGCAGGGCTGCAAGGGGACTCATCACCTCACTTTGACACCGCCCAGTGCCAGCCTGGGGGGCAGATGTTGGTCCCTTCAGGGTCTAGGGTCACCTGTTCGACGGCCTCCTCTCCCCCTTGGGTCCCTCGAGCTGGTCCTGCCAAACAGGGACACCTGTGCCCACCACTACCCAGGCCACTGGAGCTGCCTGGCGAGCCTTCTGCCCTGTGTCCCCACAAGCTCTTGTTTTTTTGGTTTTTTTTTTGAGTTGGAGTCTCACTCGGTCGCCCAGACTGGAGGGCAGTGGCCGCTCC